CGCTCCTCTCTCTCTCTCTCTCTCTCTCTCTCTCTCTCTCTCTCTCTCTCTCTCTCTCTCTCTTCCTCCAGCAGGGTGTCAAAGTTTTAATTGAATACGAACTGGCGGCGGACATAAAATTAGGATGAGGTCTGCGACCAATTTATTTCGCCAATCCTCCGCGTTACGGACGTCACGTTTCCGGTTGAGGAGGGTGACATTCCGAGACTCCGCCGCCGCAGAAACGTGACATCGTGAATCGGATTATACGCCGGGTGTACACGTGGATTCCGGGGGAGTCTGCGCTCCGGAAAGCCAGGCCGCGCGCGCTTTCGAAGCGGTCAGCCGCGCACGGTTTCGCCGAGCCCATAATGGCGAGAATGCTTCCGGGAATGCCCGGCGATTGAATTCAAGCCGGTTGACGATTCGAAGGTGACGACGAGATAGATCTGTGTGGTACGGCAACGTTCTCTGCGAGACGTCGCGCGACCCAAATCGAATTTGCACGTGATCCGATACGCCGGAAGAACAACGGACCGTACGCGGGAGACCGTTCGAGTACGAAAGTGAGAACCGATTTATGCGGGGGCTCATCCATTTGTTTGCCCCGTGTCCCCGTGGAAACAAGACCCTCGAAGTTTCGAAGGGGACGGCGACAAGAGGCCGGCGTGATCGTTCTATCGTCGCCTCGGTCGGATTTACTAGCGGTAGCGGTGCTTACTTCAATTGTCCGTTTGACGGCGATGAAAGATGTTGAAACTTTAGTTTAAATTTATATCGTATTGAAGAGAAGGGGGAAAGTATGAGTAGGTGCTAATTATTAAATATCGATCTCTTATCGATAAAAATATATGGGTGCAGATATGGAAGTTGTTTCGAAATTGAACATATATGTATACTCGATTAATTTCATTATTCATTACGTCACCGTAAAGTGAACGTTATTAATTTAATGTTTACATTAAAACGATATTTGCGCTGATATTTAATTCTGTAGGGCCAAAGTGAACGGCGAATTTCCCCATTGTTTAACTTCGAGTCATTAAATGTTTGTTCACCGTGGTAGTATTTGAGATTACAGAATCTTGCAGCTGATCAAATGAGAGTCAATAGAATTTCCAGCTAAAAATCTTAATATAACTGTATGTAATGTCTAAGAAAATGTGTTGAAAGAAAAAAAAAAAAACGTCAGGAGTGTCGATCGTCATTCAACCGGCATTTTCATCAAAGTAATCTCCTCATTATGTGTACCTTGTGTACTTAGGAAAGCGACGGGCTCGTTAATTATTTCGTACTTGCGTAGCGTACTCCATCGACCTGAGCCTGGCTTTTCGATTATCCCATGCTCCAATTACTTCCATTTACTTTGACGAGTAACTCTACCTCTTCCGGCTTGCGCTTAATTTAGCGTAACAGTTACCAGATAACAACGATTTAGACTTAGCTACACTTGAAAGTTTTAACCGAAAAGGCAATTTACATTTTTCTCGAATAAAAATTACGCTGCATCACGTAGATATCACAATATCCGTTATTTTAACGGATATCTCTGCCGTTTAGCAAAATTAATCTAATTACCTTCCAAAATGCTCAAACAACAACGTATATAAATATATATTTCCCAAAATTAATTCATGCTTTCCAAAGTTTATCAATCCCGATGCAAAGCTCGTTTGGAATACACACGTTTTGAAAATCCTCCTAAAATTATTAACGCCGCTGCCTGCTAAAATCCTGTGGCATTCCAAATAAATCGCAACTTGTGCAAAGAGAAACATTAAATGCCGGATTATGTTTATTTTCCGTGTTAAAATAAACGCAATCGCAATCGAGAGCTGAGTTTTGATTTCTGTCTGTGTACCCGTCCTAATCGAACATCGCTATAATTTTAAAATATGAAATATCCGTAATTTTTGCGTATCGCAAGTAAGTTAAATGTGAAATAATTGCAAGAAACGGCGTCCGATTAAATTCGCGTTCGGAAAGGAATCGTGCTTTAAATTGTTCGCGAAATATGTACCATAGATAAAGAAGAGCACGAGACAGGAAGGCCTGGATTATATATTCTCGTATATATTTTCTCCTTTTTTTGTCGATAAAAACCTATTGAAAAATCGAAACAGATATTATCGGTCCACGCTCGCCGTTATATTCGCGTGTCGCGAGGCGAGATCAAACACATGCGTTCCTCTATCATGCAATTCTATTACCATACGACATAAAGCAACGTTGCGATATTGCAGGGACGTCAAAGCCTTTCGTTTACCATTGGCTCACACCTGCTATTACCCCCTTTACAAAACATTGATTGTGTGCCAAATATTAACTCGAATGCGAGCTGAGATGCAGCGTGAGTGAAAGGCCTTTATAGCACGGTCGCGAATACATTTCCATTTTTTTTTTATAGCAACAATCATATTAATAAACTAATAATAAAACTAATAAAAAGAGATTTATGTAAAATTATTTAAAATAGATTTCATAAGTACTTTTAATGTGCTTCATGTGCTCAACGTACAAAAAATGTCCCATAACAGTCTCATTCTGTATAAAAATTTTTCAACTGCGTTTTTCAAGTAGGTATACGTTCCTATTCGCACTTTTTCGCACTTATTCGTTTTTCTTTGTCGACTTTTTCGTTCGAACTCAAAGCGTTTCATCGTTGCCATTTTCTTCTAGTTCGTGGCAAGGCTTAACAAAAGTTTCGAAAGTCCGGACTAATTATTCAGTTACTTGAAAGCTTCGTTCTACGTTGCTCGTCCCCGATCGGATTAAAAGTTACCCTCTATTTCCGGAGTCCTAAAATCTTATAACTTTCGATGATAGATAAAATTTATTAAGTCTAATAGCGCCGCGTTTGACTTATAATCGTTTTCTCGATGCAGCTATAAATTTTTTAATGCATCTCCAGGTCATTCCTACGTATGATGAAATCTCTGAATTATTTATTTTCTCATTTTAAATTCCTGAAATAAATGTTCGATTTATCCTCTACATATAGAAAAATCATTTTACTAGAGTTTATCGCTAAAGTTTTATTAGAAAAAAATGTCTTTAGCTATTTTCTTCAATATAAATGTATAAAATCCAATTTTCCAATTTCTTATTCGTAAAAATTTTTGTCATGGATTTGGTGTTCGTACACATACACAAACACAAGCACTCTTAATATCTTGAACGCAGACATATTATTTAATACTATTTAAAATTTAATGGTATTTGCATTGCGACGGTATTAAATTTGAAAAATGAAAAAGCTGCTCGGACGTGCAGCGATTAATCATAATGGCAGCGAATTTCGAGCATTTGTGCTCGCAAACTTTTTGTTAATACGCATACACGGAATTGATCCAGCGCTCATTACGCAGCACGTTCGTCCGCGAGCGGATAATTTCATAAATATTCCGCATTACCGGCGCAACGCGGTACTGTTGATGACTCCCGCGAAATTCAACCGGAACGCAGAGGAATTTTAATATAATTACTTGTGTAACTACACAGGACTGCGTGTCACAGGACTACGTGTAACTAATACACTACATACGTTCGTAAATCAGAGTTGTTACGCAGGTGAAATTCCAGAACTCTCCGAATTTTCCGGTTTTGCCGACTGATAAAGATGTCTCCTCGAAAACCAGAGATTAAAAGGAGGGACGAGAAAAAAACAAGCAGATCGAATTAATAAAAATTACATTACATTATTATATCATTTTATTATATTTTTACGCGAGCGCGTAATTTCTAAATGTTGATTTACAGTCTATCGATTTGGAACGTCAATTAATACTTGCCGAATAAACAACTCCTCCGATATTCCCGGGGGCTGTTTCAATCCTTCTGACACGCAGCGCCCGCTCTGATTAAGTTTCCGGTTTTCATAGTTTTTCCATTCGCCCCATTGCGATTCTATAAATGTATCTGGGAATTCATGCCGGGATGTCGATGCGGGAATGAATTCACCGGTGGGACGCGCGCGCTCACACTCACTCATAACTCACGATTATACGATACATTGACGAATGCATTCGTGTTCTTCGCGTTACATTTCGCGCGATGACGAAGTACCCGATACTATTTATTCTGTTGCAGGTACAGTGACATTTATCATCGGTTTCACGGGATGTGTCGGCGCGCTACGGGAGAACACATGTCTCCTCGCCGCGGTGAGCGTCCTACGGGATTCAATTAAGCTCTCCCCGGATTACTTTATACTTTAATTGCCCAATATCTTTCGGAACTTCGAACTTTGATCGAACTTCCGGTCCGTTACGTGATATCTATGGCCTATCATTGGCTGGCCGCCGCGCGCGCGATTGAACGAAAGTTCGCCTTTTGTGAAATGTGTAACGTTTAAAGGTACTTAAAACCGAAAGGCGCCGGCCGCCTTCTTTGATAGCGAATTCTTGAGATTTAGATCTCCCCGAAAGGGAACTAGTCGTTTAAAAGATGGTCCTAACGGACAGTGAATTGGGCACTAATAGGCAGTAATTATTCTCTCGAAGAAGCTTGATAAAATTAATCTTACGTGTTGCAGTATGCAGTATTTTTGGCGCTACTACTGCTGATGGAAATGACTGCCGGTGTTTTGGGCTTCATCTTTAAAGATTGGGTAAATATTATGTATATTTTATAAAAAAAATCATTATATTTGTGTATTCCAAAAATCTACGATATAATGTACCATATAGTAATTACACTAAAACTTTTGGAAATGTGGAAGTAACATATATTATTATATATATATATATATATATACTTGCGATATATGTAAATCTGGAAAATTGAAATATATATCTATTACAGATCATTTTACAATCATATAATATCGTTTTGCATATCGCGAATACCCCGTGCGCATTTAATTATTCGCATAGGTGATATTTCGCAGAGTATATTGCATTACTAAAATTTATCCTGTAGAATAACCGCAACATTTCCAAGACGAGTGTTCCTCGAGATAGTTTCTCTGCGCTCATTCGTAATCGTTTCTGCTTACCGTGTTTATTAATTCAGTAGCTACGAGAAACGTGGCTGAATTATCAAAGCGAATATGCCGAATGCATTGTACAATATATTCGTCGGTGCATATTTCACAATCTCGCTCGTCCAAGGATATATGTACACTCGCGCACAAGGAAGACGAACACGTGAGAGAGCACAGTCTAGGGGGCCGGGAAGTTTGCGTATAATTATGCAGCAGGAAAGTTCCTAGGTTACTAATTAATTAATCCATTAACCGTATCCTTTAAACATGACGAGCATTTTCTCCCGGTGGAAAATTTCGGACAACCAACAAATCCCCGTGCCATCATATCCCCGTACTCGTACGCAGCTCGCGTTTTAATGTGCGCCATTTTGCTTTACGACCGTCGGAAAGTTGAATTTATCCTTGAGCAATTGCATCTGCAGCATCTGCGACGCTCGTCGATCGTCGGGAGGGAAATATCGCCGGGCTAAAAATCATCGGTCGTAATAAGACTTCGCAGAGATTACGACCGATGCTTCAATATTATGAGACTTTACTTTCATTTTGATCGAGAAAATTGAGATAGATTTGTTATTCACTTAAAAATTTCAAACTATATAATTACATGAAGTTTATTAATGAAGAGACGATTGGTTAATATTAATTAATACGATATTTAATTCGCTATGCAGATAAAGTCACAAGCCACGGGCGGTTTCCAAGCGTTCATCATCCACTACAGGGAGGATCCCGATCAGCAAAATCTCATCGATTGGATTCAAGAAGATTGGGCAAGTTGATTAAACCAGGATTATTCAATTGCATTAATTATAATTGGAGTAATTCGATATACGCGTTATCCCGCCGAGGTATCGAATCCACCGAAGTCGAACGTGCATGTGGTGGCCTTAATAAGCACCGCTCGCATGCATGTCTAAGTAGTGCAGGAAATTGTGCGGTCAGACACACGGGGGGATCAGCAACCGGGTACGCGAACTCGCGCGGATTTTATCGAGTCGCGGCCGCGACACGAAAATCTGGCCAGATCCAGATTCCGGACGCCGCGCGAGTCGTCCAAATGGCGCGTAATATATAGTAGCATTCGACAATCGATATCCGGTCATCCAATTGTGGTTTATGAGATTTCAATAGAACCGCCCGGATACACTGCCGCAATTTCGGTAATCCTATCAGGAGCTAGTCGATGGTAAACCGCACACGCGCTCGCACCACGTTGCACCACACGTTACCATCGCTGGCTAGATCCACCGAAAATTTCATTCGATTTCATTCCGCCATACTTTACGAGCATTGGATGTACGACAGTGATTTACGTTCGGCCAAGTATCCAGCGGAACCGCAAGAATTAATTTAACCGGCGAATCCGTCGCGCGGTTAGCGGGATTTTCGTTGGGGGGGGGGGAGGGAGGAGGTAAAAAGGGACGTCTGCCACAGTGTGGGGATCGATGAAGTCAGCATCGCAATACACCGCGAGAGGTTTACGCGTTCATACCGTTCACATAGAGGCGACGTAGGATTGTTGGATCTATCGATCGATACATACGTACACACATAAATTATTGCGCGCCGTGAGTACATACGGAAACATTTGCAAACTGATTCCGTTAATGTTTGAATGCGCGGGCGAGGCGGACTCCGGAGACCGCTGATGAATCCACAAGCATCGAATTACCACCACAATTCCATCATCGGTGGACCATCGCGGCCGACTATACTAATACTATCGTTGTTTCGCGATAGTTAATATAGCATTTTAACGAACTGAATAAAATGAAATTGATAAACATTAATAGTACATAATATCTTTTCTCAGATTAGTTAACGCTTGGCTTAATCGAATACATTTATGAGTACTCTGTCCATACTTAAATTCCGAAACGGCTCAAACTACTTACAAGATTGTGACAGATAAAAAAAAATATATATGAAAAACCACGACGCTCCGGATGAACGCGATGGCGTTTTAGAGGATTAAAGCGATCCTGTCTAATCCGGAGATATGACAAGCGATTTTGGCGCGGCCGAAAGTGCGATATCGTCGAATTCGTTAATCGATGGTCGGCCCACCAATTGTGGTTTACGAGATTTCAATAGGGATGCCCGGTATGCCGGCACGCAATTCCGGCAATCCTATCAACCCCGGGGAAACCGAGGCACCACCGAGTTGCCATATATACCGCCATTGTCTGACCCCGTCGGGATTCACTCGGGTACCATTTATAGGCGGTTAATGAAATGCTTAGTACTTCGACTTCGTGCGGTGGCGCGGAGCGTATTTACCGTCGCCATCCCACTTATCAATTGGCTCAACTCGGCCGGTTCGGCCCGGCGCGATCAATATACAGGATGTATCAAGAGAAATGTGTACACTGGTAAACGAGAGAAATTTTATCTTCGAAGGAATCTCGACTCGTAGCGAATACTTTATTCCGTAATAGCGTTTCGCACGTCATTCCTCCAACGGTGAACGTCTTGACCGAAAAATCCAAATTAATTTTTTCGAGAGTCATTTTCGGAGGTCTTTCGATGACGAGAGCATTAGCAAACTGAAATGTGAGGGTTCCGTTATCCGCACGTTTCGTCGTTATATCTATCAGGTTAAGCGCGCGGCGGAACTCTCGCACGAAGAGAAATTGACGATGGCGAATGGAGTTGCATGGAGTCTGCTGTTGATCTCCCTTGATACAGCCTGTACAGCCCGTCGAGCGAATAATAATTAAATCCAACTACAATCGGAAACTCGTATCTCGTATCTCAATACTCGACTCGCATTCGCATCTCGTATGAATATTCCGCGCGTCCGCGTTTCGTATTATGAATATTTGATTGGAACGAATTGAAACGTTACCGCACGAATAATTGAAATAAAATAAAACGACTACGCCAAAAACAAATCAGCTAAATTACATGGTTGGCCGGGATTCGCTTGATATTGTCTTTCGGCGCTCGACCCGAGCGGAGAGCTTTCCCTTTCTCTCCTTTCTCTCGATGTATCGGCTTTGCGTGACAGCCGCTTCTTATATCGCGATAACGAATCGTCTGATTAATCAAATTCGTAGGAAGCACGTGCGAAACGATAAACGAGGCGTTCTCACATACTACCCCGTTATTAATAATTGAATTCGTGATACTCCTCGTATCGATTTTCTATTTTTAACTCCGTCGAGAATCTAATACACTTCGCACCGGGTAATTCATTTTTATGCCTCTTAATTAAACATGAAATATCTCCTATTCCGCGGCAAATGTCGTGCCGAGAAATACGAATATTCCCATGGTTAATTAATTATACGATGGAATCGAGAGATTGTCTCGCCTGTGTGTGTGTG